CTCCGAGCCCTCGTCTCCATAGTTCCGGTATAGGCTGTCAGTCCCGGTGGTACCGCCGTTGTCAGTGGTACTGATACTTGTGGGGGTATCGACGTTGTAGACTTGTAACCCAGCCGGAAAGAAGTCACCGGTCTCCCTGGTAGGCAGCTGCGGTTCCCGCAACGATTGGTTGCTTCGGTGGGGGAGTAACTGCTGATTGGCAGAGAAGGCTACCTGATTCGGGGAGTCAGCGCCTCCGTCCCTACTGCTCCTGCTGCTGCTACTGTGGCTTCCCTCAGAGGCGCATTCAGGGTCCTTGGTGTTGTTGTTTTCCAAGATTAAAGGGGTCCCAGTAGGTTCCCCACATCTCGGATCCCTATTTACCTCGCCGTGACTCGGCTGCCGCAAGCCTGAGAGTGTCCAGGGTGCGGAAGATTGGTAAGTTGATAATGCAGCCGCCAGAGGTGCCGCCAGAAGGTAATTCAGACTGGGACCGTGTTTGTTTCCAACAGCCGGGGTTTGTGACTGACAAGGGGTTGAGAAAAAACTCTGAGCCATTGCGGCGGCTGCAGCGGCTGACATGAGATGTCCTGCGCACCCGACTGTCGATGGAGGTGCCAGGCAGAATGCATTAGCCACAGAACCCTCGAAGACCTGTTGAGTTTTCGGCTGCTCAGTTGGATGGCTTTCCTGCTGTTGGGGGGGATTGTGCACAAGGCCCCAAAATGGAACCGCAGCCGCAGTTTGTGTCGCTTCTGTGTTGTCCATAGGAGTTGAAGGACTCCTGTTAATCGAATGCACATTCTCTTCTACGGCCTCATCTTCCTCTTCCTCCCCCTCCTCTTCGTCCTCATCCTCCTCATCCTCACCTTCCTCTTCCCCTTCTTCCTCACCCTCTTCTTCTTCTTCTACCTCGCCTCCATCCCCGCGTCCTCTTTGCTGCTGTTCGGAATGCAACTTTGTTACGCCCTGACAAGCCGTAGTCAGCTGAAAGTTTGGAACATAGGCTCCATCCCGTGGGAAGTTCTGATTGACAACAGTAGAGAGACTTTGTGAGACGGGACCGGGGTAGGCAAAGGACTGGGCTACTGCACCGGTGGCGGAGATATGGCCAGTTGTTCT